ATTAACAAATACTGGCTGAATTCCTTCTAGGTATCACTTTCTGGGCTAGGTGGAAGGAAACAATGGATAAGCACAGTCTCTGTTCTCCAACTTCCAGGGCAAACTAATAGCAAGAGAAAAAAAACAAGAAAAGAGAAAATTATAGGATCACCTGAGGTAGTATTTGGACCACAATGGGGTGAGAATTTCTCACAGTGCCTTAAATTCACTAATTCGACAGCAATCCATCAGAAATTGAACCCAGTGCTTTCACTTATGGCAAGCTGCTGGCTCGGTCAACGCAGCAGAGGTGCACCTCAGGCCCATCTTAAGAATCCCAACTGGGCCACACTGGGCAGCTTTTCTGGCCTGTTCTTCCCAATGAGCATTTACCCCGTCCCAACTTCCTTCACTTGTGTACTTCATGGGACACCTGCTTTGCTGACTCAGCCTCAATGCTACACATTGTTGAAGCACCCCAGCTGTCTTCCTGTTATCTCAAAAACAGGTTCATTACTTTCCACGTGGCAAAAAAGAGAAAGTCCCCTCTATTTCCCAGGTGGTTTTTGATGACTCAGATTTTGCTTCAGCTCAGGGTTATTCTGTCTCAAGCCAACAAGAACATACTGAACATGGAGACAGAACAGAAAATTTCATGGCTCATGACCTGAAGGAGCTCCATCTCTCACAGGCAAGTGGAGAAGACACCCTTGAAAAGAGCCATCACAGGTCAGGGATATAGCTCAGCGGCATAGGCACGTGCCTGGCAAGCGCAAGGTCCTGAATTTGATTCTCGCTACCAAAAAAGAAAAACGAAACAAGCCATCAAACAATGGGACAGGTATGTCCACTGGAGCACAGGAACACGAATGAATGAGGAAGTCACTGAAGGCTCTGCTGCCAGACACCAGCAGAGAAGAGGAATTGACAGCAAGCAGGAACACACTATGTTCCAAGGACAGTGAGCACACAGGAATGGCTGAGGTGGACCTATATTCCCCCAGGTTTAATATTCACCCCCCAGGCCTACACACAATGGAGATACACAAACACATTCTTAGTTCTATTAATAGTACGTGCCTATTTTCAGGTGTCTTCAAGAAAGCTACAGCCAGCATATCACACCCAGGATTTCACAGACACAAACTGTACTCTAAAAGGATTCTTTTTTTTTTTCCCCCTTCCGATACCAGGAATTGAACTCACGATGTCACGCTTGCCAGGCAGGCGCTGTGCTGCTGAGCTAAATCCCTAGCCCCTCTAAAAAGATTCTTAAATTAAGAAGAGTGAAGTAGTTGGGGGAAAGAGCAGGAAGAGACTGGAAAGGGGCACTTGGAGGTAAAGGAAATACTCTGTATCTTGATTTGAGTGGCAGTTATTTGTGATTACAGATGCCAAAACTCATGGAGAGTACACTTAAAGTCCATGCATTTAATGACAAATTATACCTCAATTTATTAAAAAGTTAAAGAATACTTTCAAGAAAAGTAACAGTACAGGTGACACCTGGATATGGCAGAGAAAAACGCACTGTGCAAATGACAAGTTCAAGAACCAATCCTAGATTAGCCCTGCCCAATAAATTCCCCAGCAACTACATTACTATGTCAATGTGATCAACATACATTTAGAGGTGCTGGGATCAAAGCCAGGGTCTCATGCATGCTAGGCAGCAGTCTACCACTGGGTTATATCCCAAGCCCAACATAGAACCACAGAGACATCAAATTTTTTTGTATTAATCCTTTGAAATCTGGCATATGTTTTCTACCCACAGCCTTCTTCATCGGGCTAACCACATCTCAAGCATTCGATAGCCCTGTGGGTGTAGCAGCTACCATACTGCACAGGGGAGTTACAGACAGCGAGGAAACACTAATGGTTTTTAAGCAGAAAGGGATCTTCATTCTATAAATACCACAGTTACCTTTGATGCACAAATCTTCTAGTCCAAGCCCAGCAACATCCACAGCACAAATGCACAGATTTAGGGAAAAAGGGGAGGGGGGCATCCTCTAATGTAGAATTTGTTTTAACAATAAACCTGACAGTCTGTTTCATGAGTTTGACTCTAAAAATTACTGTTTGGCACACAATTTATAATTATGATAGCCTGAAAGTGGCCCCTGGAAATGTAACTCTGCCTGTGCACAGAGCTGCTGTCCCAGCAGACCGTAGGGGATGTGAAAGGCTGTTCTGGGTTTCTGTCTAAGACATCTCCAGTCCTTTCCCAAACTGAAACGGAAAAAAGGTGATTTAGTCACCTCGCCCTGCAAGCTCTACTCAGTCAATGGGAGAAAAAAAGTTATGGATGCTTCTTGCCACAGAAAGGAAAATTAAAAGTTTAGAAACCTGAGACCAAGAGCTGGGTGTGATGGCAAATGCCTGTAATCCCAGCACTTGGGAGGCTGAGGCAGAAAGATCACCATGAGTTTGAGGCCAGCCTGGGCTACACAGTAAGTTCAAGACCAGCCTGAAGTACATAGCAAAACCCTGTCTCAAACAACACCCCCCAAAAAGAAAAGAAAAATTTGAGATTAAGATGTCTATGTTTCCATGAATTCTATGCAAATACAGAGCTAGAAACGACCCCACAGACTACTTCTCTTGCACAACAGAGAAGGCACTGACACTGTCCTCCCAGTTCGCTAGGCGGCCCCAGCCTTCCACCGCCACAGCATCACTGCAGTCACCAACGCAAGCAGCACGGCCAGCACAGTCAGTTGCTTGTTCTTTCAAGTACCTCGTACCATGAATTTAGATTCTGAAAATACTGTCTATTGACAGGCATTCTACTTCTATCAGTCTGCTTGTATTATCTGCCTTCTGTTTACTTTAAAATTCAACCACTAGAGCAGGTACTACTTTCACCTTAATAGTGATTTTCACTGATTATCAGTGTGTCAAGTTTGAAAGCTTAACAAAAAGCTGAAATGGTAAACTTATATGTAATCAATCTGAAATGGGTATTGATTCAACCTATTTCAAAGTCTCACAGGTAAGGCAGACCATAAAGTGCTCTAAGTGAAATTAATTAATCTAAGAAACACTTTCACCAGATTGATAGTAGAAGTTTTACTGATGTTGATATTTCTTTTTCCTCTCCCACATCACATCAATATTAAATTCACAGCCTTTGAATCATTCTAAACCCAGTCTTAAATAATGTAAAATTACTTTAGTAGCGTGTTAAGTCACCATTAATGTACCTCATACATTCAACTTTTTCTGCAATTCTCATTTTTCTTTAACATATGGAGGTCCCAATCAATTGGAAATAGACAGAGCTTCCAAGAAAATTTGAAAAGATTAATGTGGTTTAAAAAGGGGCTTGACATTAAAAATCCTCTGATTAGAAAACTAAGGAAGTTTTTTTCTTTTTTTTTCTTTGTAAGTGACCTAGTATATATTATTTTTTCTCTACGTATTTAAGAACCCCAAATAATGCTGATACAGAAATAAATTTTCCCACTCAGAAATGAGAACAGAATCCTGATTTCATTTATAGTTCTATACTTGGCCCTGTTTATCATTCTTAATTAGAACAAGGCTATCATTTTTCAGAAAACATTTACCTAAATTCTACACATTTTAATCTGCAGCTATCTAAGACAGGGAAGAATTCTAGTCTGCTGACCAAGTCCTTGATCTGTGCTGTTCTCAAGTAAAGGGCACAGTGGTTTCCGGCAGAACACCCCTGTGCTAGCTGATCAGCATCCACAGCCCATGTTCTCCAGCCTTCGCAACTCTTGGCCCAACCTAAAAAGCAGAGTCAGCTTCAGGGCTCCTATGACAAGGAGGTGGTAAAAGAACAAAATGTCTTTAATATGTGATCTTCCCCCGAGAAGATGAGACATAAAGCACTGTCTAAACTAATACCTAGAGATACCTTTTGGTTCCTAAACAAAATACTGCAAAGTCAGAAGTGATAGAAACCTACATATTAAGAATGAAGTAAACCACTCATACACTGCATTATACTAATAATCAAAAAGAAATTATACTCCCTATCGAAAAATAGCCATCAAAACACCAAAAGCACATGATGAAGGCTGCCTTTACGACTTAAGTGGCTGTGCACTGGTTTGGTGGCATGGAGAAAGTACAGTGAAGAATAATGTAGTACATGAGCATCCAAGCATAATGAACACACCTCCAAAAGTGGCAATGAAAGATCTATGGATTTGTTAATGGAGGGGGTTTCTTGGGCAGCAGAAGGTTGCTCATTTGGGGGAAGGGGAGAACAGCTATCATTAACACAGACTTAGAATGTCTTCCACAAAATACCACCTCCCCAATCACCAAAGAAAATACAGTAAAAGAATCTCTTATAAATATATTTAAGACACTAAGTCCATCATCCTGAGAAAATGCCAGGCACACTTAACCTTGTCCTTATCTTCTACAAGATGCTGAACAAGCCGGGCGTGGTGGCACATGCTTGTAAGCCCAGCACTCAGGAGGCTGAGGTAGGAGGATCTCTGCAAGCTTGAGGCCAGCCTGGGCTACAAAGTGAGTTCAAAGTTAGTCTGAACTGCACACTTAGACCCTATCTCGGAAAAAAAAAAAAAAAGATGCTAAACAATCGACAGGGATTTTTAAAAACTGCCCCCATTTTTGGGCCAGGTTTGTGTGACATGCAAAGTCACACACAGTTGCTCTATTCTTAGTGAGAAAACAGAAAAACCTGTCATTTTGAGGTATTGTTACAAGAAATCTTAGTATATAAGAAAACATTCTGCACTGCAGCAGCACTTATAGCTAAGAGTCCTAAACAGCTCAATAGCCAGAGCAAAAAGCGAAACAGTGTCAGCTCCTCAAGGCCAAAAGATGACACAACAGGGCTACTACGAAAGGATACTTTCCACATAGCCACTCTCTTCAACAAACATACTACCTGTGCCAAAGACCATTCCGACTAACGACTGTTGTACAAGCTCTGGAGGAATCGACAGTTTGTAAATGGTTGACACACAACTGGAAAAATATCTGAAAAAATAAAACTGCAGAGACTTACATACCTCCATATCTGGTCTAAATTTATCTTCAAAAACAGCCATTGCTGCCAAGGAGCCAGACCCTGTAAGAAAAAGATGCACTTTTAGTTTTTGGATTTTTTTTTTTTTTTAACCAATCCTTAGCTTTTCCATCTCAAGTTCACCTCAGGGTAGTAAAAACAGTAAAACATGCCCTGTGTCACACTCAAATACAGTGTAAATATTAACACCACAGGGCCACGTCAACCAAGTAAAAAGCAGTACTACTCAAAAGCCTAGAGTCACATTTGCCACTAGCTCGAGCCAGTCTGAAACTAGCCCTACTTCTACCACTCACAGATTTAATTGTAAATAATTCATAATAAAATGAGGAAGCACAAAAATGAGGTTATGGGGAATCTGTATTTTTTTTTAGAAAGTGAACACCACCTAATTTCACATATCCTACGTGGTGAGGCTTGGGCTCCATGTTGTGCCTTGGCAGGCTGCTGGGCAAGTGCTAAATACCAAGCCCGCTAGGAAGAATACATTGTTTTAATGAGCTGGCCCTGGTAGAGTCACCTTGACATGCAGGGAAGAAACTACTGCACCAGCAATGGTAATAGGACTGCAAGTTACAGCCACCAGGTTATTCCAGCTACAACTGTAAAACACTTTATTATGTGGCATTTATTTGGAGCTATTATTTTTAGTTTGTACTTTGAAGAGTAAAAGCTGAGTAGACAAAATGACAGACAAAGAAACAAAAATTTATTATCACAATAGCAAATGGCTGAAAGGTTATGCTGCATAGGTATTAACAGATAGCAAATTTATCCCTACCAAAGTAGACATAAAGGCATTTAAGTATGGGCTCCCTCTGAATGGATGCAAAAGGCAGCTCAGCACTATTTGAAAATTTAAACTTGCTTTGTTCAGAAACCCGAGAATCTTTAGAAAATCATCATCTTGTCTGTACAGGATCCTGGCAATATTTCAGGATACTCTACTTTTGGAGAGAGGACAGAGTTGCCCACAATTTTTTACTCCAATTAGAAGATTTTTTTGGCATTTATTACTTTTTAACTTGTTTTGCATAACACTATCTATTTAGCTGGGTCAGAGAGAAAACCATATTTTCTATTTAAAATGATTTGTGTACATCGCTTGACCACCTCAATGGTTTAGCAAAGGAAAAAGGCAGCGATTAAACAGTTTCAAATGAGGTGTCCTGCTGATTTTATCAAGTCTGCTGAATGTATAATGAAAAAGGGGAAGCTGACAGCAACACTGCATTGAGGAAATACAGACTACCTTATCTGAACCATTTAAGGAGGTCCAATTATAGATCAAATTTAAAGGGTAGAAACAGCAGATTTACAGACACAAATCAATGAACATGGTAATCCCAATGAATATGACAGATATTCCTGTTACGGAATATTGCTGCGGTTGAGGATCATTACCTTCACGGCACCAGATACATCACAGCTAAAGCAGTAGGAAGCGTCAAGTGTAGACCAGCATTACAAGCAATGACTATTCATTTAAGCTTTGGGAGCAAAAGGCAACCCCATTTCCCCCCTCACAATTTTTTTTTTCCTCCTTAAGAAAAAAAAAAAACTGAAATGGAGATGTAAAGGGCTATTAAAAGCCCCTTTGGACAAGAGACAGAAATTAAGCAGCTAGAACACCAGTGGACCCAGGAAGAAACAAGCACATTTACAAAAGTAAATTCACCAAACCAAACCTCTGGATTTCAAAGTCCTTGAAAACAGGTCAGATTCTACTGCATTTTAGGGGTTACCAGGTCACCCGAGACTCAGAGGTCACGAGGGAAAAGTATATAAGCTGCTGTTTTAAGGTTCAGGTAAGAACCAGCCTCACTAGTTTAAAAAAAAACTGCTTTCCTGTGGAAAACAAAGGACAGCTGTCAAGGAGAAACAAGAAAATTGCAAATGAGGACCTCTCAGAAAAAAATTATTTCTAGATACAAAATACTCCTACAGGGCAGACAACTGCAGGCTTGCCTTTTCCAGAGTGGCCCCAGATTATCTTCCCTAGGAGCCCAAGGGTAAAAGGACCAGAACCCTGAAATCAACATTTAAAAAGGACAGAAGGCCAGTATTTTCCTAAGAGCTAACAACTTTGTGGAGAACTACAATAAAACATGGCTTTGTTTTTCCTAGGTACATATATTTCCTTCTGCTCAGCTTCAGCTTCCTTGGTACCTATATTTCCTTCTGCTTCAATATTTTCAGAAATGAGAAAGTATTTCCCTCCCAATAGAATCTTATCAGAATCTTTATCAGAAACGACAGCTCTGTCCAGTGCGCGGAGCCACCGCATGTCATCAGAGGTGCTTTTCACAGCTGGTCATGGGACAGGCAAACACAGGAGGGCCACAGGCTCTTACCACACTGTAAGACACCTCAATCCCCAACACTCACAGAAATTTTCTGGAGCCGGGCGTGGTGGCACGCCCCTCTAATCCCAGCACTCAGGAGGCTGAGGCAAGAAGATCATTGTGAGTTCGAGACCAGCCTGGGCTACAAAGTGAGCTCAAGGCCAGCATGAACTGCATAGAAAGACCCTTTCTCAAAACGACAAAAAACAAAAAAAAAAAGAAATTTTCTGGAAAGCAAGGGCTTCATAAATTGCTTGATTCCACTTCCCCTGAAATCAAAGACATGCAGGCCCCAAAATAAATCTGCAAAGAAAGGGAAATGCAACATTAAAGACAATTTTCAAAAAAAAAGATAATTTTCTACTTCACGTGGGAACTAGTTTCGGCTTCCAGCTCTCTAGGAAAGAGAACTCTGGCGCCCCCTTTTTAGAAGGACAAGAAGTGCTAAGAGATGGCACACAAGTGACTGTCAATAGGTTCCCAGGTAACTCTGAATGCCTCTGCTACCTAAAAACAGGTGAGAATTCACACAGCGCCACCACAGTCCAAAGCAGTGAGAGAACACGATGCAAATCCTCACATAACTGCAGAGCAATGCAATGGGGAAGCAAGGGGAAAAGAGTTGGCCATTTTTTTAAAGGTAAATTTCAACGAGACCAGTATTCTCTAATGATTTTATTCAAGTTTCCCAGATATTAGTCCAATGCCCAAAACTCTATATAATAAACCAACGGGCAAATGCTGTGCAGGTACAACCACCACGTGGCCCACAGAAAGAACCCTCAAGTATTACATCCCAGTTTCCCCATAAACTACAAATGAGGCCCTGAGCCATCCTCGCCTCAGTGTCAAGCTCTCTACCTGGAGTTCTCTTCAGGCCCAACACCAAGGCTAAGAAAGCGTTTCAGAAGAACACTTTCCCCTTATTTTCTATTCCAAAGACAAGGACACCTTAGATGGCACAGCTACCCAGCTTCCCACTAAGGAGAAAGCGCAAAGAAGGTCAGCGACAGTGTGCAGTACAAGACCTCTGCCTCCACAGCGAGGTCAGGTGAGGAGATGGCTGCCACCACTGCGAGGTGCATTCCACAGAGGCAGACCAGGCGCTGAGGCCTGTGCTCTAAGAACCCACAGCCCAGAAGGGAGAAGACAGCACCTGAGGGAAGTCCCCACACGGGCCCCCTATGTTTTATGTCGTTTAGTCACCCTCACAGCAACCCACTGAAGTGACAGCCATCCTGTCTAGGGTTGCAGAACTAACAAGCATAAGTCAGGGCTCCTTTCTCCACTGTGCCCCATGTCACTCTCTCATACAGGAAGTCCTGTATGCCACAACACACTTCAGAGAAGGCACACATGACCTTCCATGACCAAGTCCTGCTCCCCTCATCCCTGACCCCTCTCCAATACCCACCCCTGATACTCCATCAACACTGACATTTGCTAAGTCTCCAAGCCATTTCACACCTCATCTTGGCACGTGGCAAACCTACTAATCCCTTAACAGTCACAGAACTCCTAGCTACCCTTCAAATCCCATTGAGACATCACTCCTCTCAGAAGGCTTCATGAGTTTATGAACTCTCAGCCGTGCAGCTTACCCACCCTCTCACAGCAGCCCGATACTAGCGGACTCTGGCAGACCACAAGCGCCGAACAGACGCATGTGGAAGGAAGCTGTGCTGAGCTGGTACACAACTGTCCTGCGGAAGAACTGGGGAAACTCTGAAGAGTGAAAATAGCAGTAAATACCTTAATAAACTACAGAAGAACATTTATTCTGCAACAGGAGGCCTGCAAGTCTCGCCTGGGAAACTTAGCGACTCAGTGAGCTTAGTGAGATCCCATCTAAAAATGAAAAGCGTTTGCAGCGGCGGGGGGAGGGGAGGGCCCTCAGTGCAAAGGCTCTGGGTTCAACAATCCAATACTGACAAAAAAAAAGAGAGAGATACACCAAAAACCTTAATTCACCACACTAGGCTGAATAAAAGGCAAATGCAGATGTAATACAAGTTCAATTTTCAAAAAAGCACAAAAAGACTTTAAAGGCACACATCCATGTTCTGTTTATTTTACATCCTCGCCTAGGGCACACCCCTGCCCCATCACAAGAGTGGGTTCCCCTGCTTAGATTTCCACATCCTCCTAGCAAAGCTCCTGTCTCCTCAACTGCCCCTCAACTCACCCTGCTCAACCACCCCCAACTCCCAGCCCACTGGGAAGCCAGGCTGCGGACCAGATGTAGTGGAGAGCGCATACTTCGGGCCCTTGGCCCCAACAGAACCAGGCACTACTGTCTGCACACCTCAACCCACAGCGGCCATTAGGTGGGCGCCACCTGGCCTCAGCTGCCCCAACTGGGTGCTCATTAAACTCTGTCTGCAACTGGCGCCCTGCAGTGTCCTGGAATGAGAGCACAACCAGGCCTGCTCCAAGGCAAACTGTTAGGTCCTGACTCACCCACAGACCTTCCTGACGACACTGGGGGTCAACTACATCTGCTGACCTCCAAGAGATGGGAGCCAAGCACCCGCGCCGCAGGGCCCCATCTCCAGCCAGGCTTTTAAAATGAAATTCCTATGACTCACAGGTCACTGGCAAGCCAAAAAAAGGGGAAAAAAAAAAAAAAAACAACCTAACTCCTGTAAATAATGTAACATAGAAGCCCTAACACTCAGAAAAATATATGCAACACAC